GAGCGCCCTGGCAGTATCCCAGCCTACATACAACCATGATATTTTCTTCAAACATAAACTTCATCCTGCGTCGGTCATCGCGCAGATTATCAAGGGTCGCCTTATCTGCTGTATACAGCAGGGCGGATAAGCGAAAACATGCTATTGCTGGCGGCTCCTTTCCTTCCCACCTGTTTCTCTTACTCCCATCCCGACCCTCATTACTAACCTTCCTTTTATAATTCTCAACTTAATTGACATCAACTGAAGTGCCACTGGAATAGAGCCATCTGCAGCCACCTCGCGACACTCATCGGACCCCTATCAGCAACAGACCCTTATAAGGTCACACTGTCCCGTTTCCATGGCTACGTTCAACGTTCGCACTCTAAGACGAATAGGTCAACAGGCTACACTTGCATGCACCTTGGACACACTGGGTATTGATGTGTGTTGTGTGTCCGAAACCAGGAGCAGTGAACCTAGTGGGTTGTTGAATTAACTGCACCCGACTTATCCTCTCGTTATTGGTTGCATGCATCCGGAGATGTCGATGCAGCACTCACGGGTCAAACTGGGGTAGGTGTCATTCTAAGCTCCAAGGCTGAGTCATCGTTGGTTGATTGGATTCCGGTGAACAGCCGTTTATATGCAGCCCGTTCGACGACATCAGCTAAGTTTGATTCACGAAGTAGTACAAAACGTTGTTTTTCTGTGATTTCCGCTTATACTCCCACCGACTGCAGTTCAAGTGCTGTCAATGACACATTCTATGACAAACTGAACGCGCTACTACGCAATGCTACTAGTTCAGATATTATAGTACTTGCAGAGGATATGAACGCACAAGTAGGGCGCCTGAGCTCTTCAGAAGCTCAGCTGGGTGGTAATTATGGACTTAACTCCGAACGAACTGACAACAGTGAGCGTCTGCTGCAACTGTGTGCGGCGCACCAGTTGTTTATTAGTAGCAGTGCTTTTAGACACAGTGGGCGCCGAAGTGCCACTTGGCATCCTCCTGTAGCTGGCCAGCGATGGACTCAAATTGACCACATAGCCATAAGTTACAGGTGGCGTGGTTCCATTCCGGATGGCCGCTTATACTGAAATACCTTCTTCGACTCTGATTATGCCTTGGTACTCTGACGTTTCTCCATGAACTTTACCTGAAGGCGCACCATGCGTCTCCTCCGATTGACAACGGAGAAATTGTCTCAGCCCTCGGTCAGGCAAGCCTATCAAGAAGCACTGCATACCGAACTCTCGCTGTCTTGTCCTAATGACACTGAGCTTCAGTGGAATAGGATCTCGTCCGCCATGCACGACGCAGGCGCATCTGTTTGTGGCACTATCAGTCGTCACCGCACCAGTCACTGGATATCCGAGAGGTCAGTGAACCTGTTTGAATCCAGAAGAAACCTCCCAGTTGGCTCTGAGCACAATGTGACCAGACGGACTATTAGGCGTGAACTAAAGCGGAGCTTAGGTGCTGCCAAGGAAGCTTGGTGGACCGGTAGGGCTCAAGAAATGGAGGAAGCAGGAGCAGTAGGCAATTACCGCAAGCTCTTCCAGTTGATCCGAGCCACTGGTCCCAGGAAACAAGGTGTCAGTGGGACAATCAGAGATAGCGCGGGTACACTGGTACACAACAAGGAGCGCCGTATGGCTTGTTTTGCAGAATACTTTCAAGATCAGTTCAGCTGGCCTGCTGCTCCCGGACCTCTTCCTACTCAGGTGATGCAGGACGAGCGATGGACGGTTAGTTTAGAGCCTCCGTCGGAGGCCGAGATCAGAAATGCGATCACATCCCTCAATCGTTTTCGTGCCGCTGGCCCAGATTCCCTCCCACCTGCACTATTTAAGGATGGAGGTGAGGCCCTCTGCAAAGCGCTGACCTCCCTATTCGAACGTATCTGGAATGAAGAGAGTGTCCCGGCTGACTGCAGCGAATCGATTATAGTGGCAACATACAAGAAGGGCAGTCGCACAGACTGTTCTAACCACAGTTGTGACAAAATTACTGGCCTCGATTATATTTCGTCGCCTCACTGTGGAACGAGAATCTCGGATTAGGGAAGAGCAGGCCGGTTTCCGCCCAGGGCGTGGCTGTATAGACCATATATTCACTTTGCGGCACTTGCTAGAGCAGTGCCACGCATATCGCAGACCGACAATAGCTGTGTTCCTTGATTTCAAGGATGCGTTCCATTCAGTCGATCGATGCATTCTGTTCGAAATACTTGTGCGGAAATGTGTTCCCACGAAATATATGAACATCCTACGTGCTCTATACTCGAACACTACAAGCCGCGTCAGGGTCTACCGTGGCCTATCGGATAGCTTTCCGACCACAAGTGGCGTTCGTCAGGGTTGTTCGATTTCCCCATTTTTGTTCAATTTCGTCGTGAATTCTATCATAGAGTGTTCCTTTGCGGAATCTCACGATGTAGGCGTTGAAGTGCTTCCTGGTGAAAGATTAGTTGATCTTGATTATGCGGACGATATCGTCTTGCTTTTCAACAATGTTGTGATGGCAGAATCAACCCTGAATAGCCTGTCTAGAGTGGTCGCATTATTTGGTATGCGCTTTGCACCTTCAAAGTGTAGTGTTGCTGCAGGACCACCAGCCACTTTGTGACCCATTGACCCTTACTAACGAGGAACTCGAGGTGGTTGATCATTTCACTTATCTTGGTAGCTGCATCAGCAACGATGGGCGCATAGCAACTGACGTCAGCTCACACATTGCAAAGGCCAGAGCTGCCTTCTTGAACCTGCGGCATCTTTAGCAACAGAAGGGAGTTTCCGTTCGTCTGAAAGGCCGTGTATAGAAGGCCACAGTGAGGGCCGCTCTGCTCTATGGTAGTGAGACTTGACCCCTTCGGTCTGAAGATGTGAGGTGTCTTTAAGTCTTTGATAATCGTTGTCTGCGAAGCATTGCTGGAATCGGATGGCACCAGCGTGTCCGCAACGATGATGTGCGTAGGCGAGTACTAGGTGATGATAATCATGCTAGCTCCCTAGAACAACAAATAGCACTAAATAAATTGTGTTGGCTCGGGCAGGTGCTACGTATGCCTGGTCACCGCTTACCTAGGAAGGCCTTGTTTAGTCTGCCAAGTGTATGGTTGCGCAAAGCTCGAGGTGGACAGAAGTTGACTTGGCAGCGGGAAATGAAGTTACTGACGACCAAACGGGGTGCCCTTAATCCGATTCGTCTTCCGGGTTGGAGTCCACGTGACTCGCCTTGTGCTTGGCTCGAGACTTTACAGGACATGGCTCGCAGTAGACACCAGTGGCGCGTCTGCTGCCGTCTCCTAATCGGATTGCCTGTTTAAAGTGTGTTTGCTGCTGAGTTATCTGCGGGGTAGTGGCTGATTATGAAGCGTGGCAGTGAAAGCCGCAAAGAAGCTGTCTCACTGATGCCACCTTAGTTTTGCATGATAGTCAACTGGTTGTGGCGGTAGGTTGTCTACACAAGGTGTAGGCGCTTTGGCCCTGAATGTTTGCTTAGGGCATTAAGGTTTTCAGGTAAGTCCTCCTTCTCTCCCTCTTCTTATTCTTTATCTCATAGCTCATCATGGTTGTACGGCAGCGAAGCATCAGTTCAAATGGCTGATGTATTGCTGTAGTTGATGATGATGATGATGATGATGATGGTGGTGATGATGAACCATCTATGGCGACGACGGGATATCGGCTTGTCAGTGAAAGGTAGGATGCATGACACTGCGATAAGCCATGTGTTTCTGTACGGATCAGAGACATGGCCAGTTCGTAGTGAAGACGTTCTACGCTTGGTCGTGTTTGACCACTGGTGCTTGCGTAGTATTATTCACGTCTGGTGGGAACACGGGGTGAACTATGCTGTTGTCCGCCAGTTGGTTCTTTGCAATAAGCCTTCTGGCGCCTTACTCGAATGTTTACTAAATCTTAGCCGCTTGCATTGTTTAGGCCACGTTCTCTGTATGACTGTTGATCGGCTTCCTCAGCGTGCATCATACCCCGTGGCTGCGCCATGTTGGGCGAAGCTGCGAGGTGGCCAGTTCATGGACGTAGCATAGCGGTGTGAGGAAACTTACTGAGGGACTTGGTCAGGCGAGTGCGTGCCCTCTTTGTGGATGAGGACTTCGATACGGTTCACGCCAATAGTTGGGGACCGTATCCGACGTGGTACAGTCACATAGTCAGTGGTGTCCCTGCATTAGACATCTTTCATCTGATTATTAATTTTTGTTTCATTCTGATCAAGTTTAACGCACTTCCTCCTTCTACTTTATTTTCCTTCTATTTGTATTCAACCTCACTATCTTGCCCTTGTTATTCATTGTCATTCTTGCGATATGAGTCGCGGCAACTGGATCCACTGCACTTCGGTGCTCGGATCATAGTTGTTTAACTGATGTGCACTGAACTCAGTGGGTTAACAAGGTACGCAAAGCGGCGCACCACGTTGCGACAGGGAGTTTACTGCAAAACAGTCATGTGTATGTATTGGAATAACATTAGACCCAACTGTGTTCCTTTGGTACCCAAACACTATCTTGCTGCGAATACCTGTGAAATCTGGTTTCCGCTGTTTTCTTTAACGAAATTTAACTATGAACGACTGTGGTTTTACCCACTTCGCTTGTGTTCTTTGTGTCAGTACATCTTGTTCTGCGGCGTTCGCTTCTGTGCAGTCAGGACGCAACGACCAGGAACTGTTGGGTCATTACTCTGTGAGACGTAACAGTTGTCCGTTTCTTGATTTGGTTTCTAAAGAAAGTTATTATAACCTCTATTTTTGAAATCCAAGGGTCCAACTGTATGCTGTTGCATGTAAACGCATAACATTTCCTTTCTTCTAATTACTATTTTCATAACAGTTTTCACGTTGTTTTTCCTCACGCGTTGGCATTGTCTTTTTTATCAACGGCCGTTTACTTTTTTACTTGTATGACTCGCTTAGCATGGATTGTCGGTGCAGTATAATAAAACACTGGTTGGCTGACCAGTGTATACCATTGTCTTTCGTTGTAGATCAATCAAACCACCCAAGCATCATCTTGATCTCTAGCTCGCCGTTTATTTCGAGAGGAGCCCTTACGGAATTGTTTCTCATCTCGCGTAAACTTGATTGGCTGTTACCTGGGGTGCGCACGCATATTGATGTATGTATCCTTTCTCCAGTTGTTACCATTTTTCAATAGCATGGCGGGTGACCTAGGTGGTCACCAGGTTTTTGTTTCTAATTTTCTGAATGGCACTGAATGTGGTCGAATTGTCTCACCAGACATAACATTAATCGGAAGACGTGTGGTTCACGAGGAGCATTTTGGAACCATTCGATACGTCGGCGCCCTTCCGAATTCCAATGGTCTTTGGCTTGGTGTAGACTGGGACAATCCTAATCGCGGGCGCCATGATGGCTCTTATAAAGGACAGAAATATTTCCACGCGACCAGTTTGTCGTCAGGATCCTTCGTAAGGTTAGTTTCCTTTGTTCACATGTACCATATTTTCTGGGCACAATGGTACTTTATATCATTCATCCTCTTCTGTAATACTTTATCTGGGTACCAGCTATCTGTTGGGTTATAGCCGCTTTACACCTACAACTCACACCAATGTGGTGGATTAATATCTCTCATTCCCCGCTATTCACTGCAAATAAGCCGCATTTCATCGCGATCTCACCGCGAACAATTATTTCCGTTGTTTGCATATTTCTTATTTCTCCGATTCTGGAGCTATGGAATTGTCCACAATATAACCACATGGATATTTGAGCCCGATTTCACCAGCTCACTCAGGCGCCCACGTATACAAATAGTCTGGTTTGTACCCTCTTATTGTTTGTGTGTGGTAGTTACTGCGGTAAAAAGACAATGACGACGCTTACGCCGCATGATTCATCGAACTGTCGATGTTATATGTAACTCTCGCTTGTGTTTGTGTGATGCCTTTATCAGAGTAGCAAGCTGTGTTTCCTGTAACCCTGCTGTTTAACTTATCATTGATTGTATCAAGTATATTCATCTACTTAATCGAATCGATATCATGGGCCAGTGTAGTTCGAATTTTTAGTGGCTCAAGTTTTTAGCGGTACGAGTTCCTCCTTACTATTCTGGTAACTGCATATATTGAAGGCAGACAAGCTTTTTGAACTACCTCGTCTCATTGTATTTCTGATATTTGGAATGGTTTTACTATCGCGCCACAAGCAAACGCTTTACGACCCTCGTAGACAGAACCAGTAGGTATCTCCTCAATCTCTGTCCCTTGTGGGGAAGCAATCTTATTCCAAAAATCTGACCACAGCGAGCTAGTCGAATATTCAACCAAATACATCGGCCAATTGTTTTCATTCCTCTGAAACCACAAGTTCTTGGTCGGTCCCAAGTATGTTCCAAGGGCGCTGTGCTTGCTTTCCTCCATTGGTTTCGAGTTTGTATTGAGTCTCTTCGGCAGAAGTAGGTAGTATGGGGTCTGCTTCCAAGATTGACTCTATTTGGGTAACTTTGAATCAGTCATTGATAACAATTTATCACTTGCAATTTTAGTCAACGATGAGAGGTGATCCTTGCATTAAATGATCCACCATACTCTCGTGTGTTACTTCGAGTGTTATGTGCCGGTCGTCGATTTTTATTAACGCGCGGGCTGTGGCATAGTTCATCCGGACATAAGGGTTTTCGGGTTGTAGTTGATGTCCCTTAGCAGCCGTGGATGTTGTCCATTAAACTACTCTCTGCTAAATGTCCTGTCATCAGAGTTTGGAGTTAATGAAATATCGAGAAGCGTTACGAGTACATTGACCGCACAGATGCAAATTGTTAACCGTCTGTCGAATCGTTCCACTATACCTTTCCCCTGGAGTTGTTGAGCGGCGATGCGATTGCGCTTACATTCGAGAGCTTTGGGCGACCCACTAGACATTGTGGCTTTGAATTACGGGCCTCAATTCGTAGTCATGGTTGCTGCTATCCGTTTTAAATGATCTGGTGCTTGAGAAGGAGACACGTCAAGGCTTCCGTGGGCACATTCGGGCGCTAGACGGCTTCGGCCCAGTGAGTAGGACAACCCACCATGACTCGTAACTGCTACGGTTTCCTACATGCATGTAGGGTAGGGAGTCCACCAGTAGGCATGTTCCCCCACCCCGTCCCTAAGTGTTTTGGAATTTACACTTTGATGTGCAGAAAATTATGGAAGATAAGTCAAGAGCGTATTGTAATACGGTCATAGCACATACACACGAATATAGACAGATTGCCACTTAACACTATTCTGTATATACTTTGGATTCGAAAAGCACAAAATTTTTATTTCGAAAATGCTCAAATGTGTTAAATAAAACTAAAGAATTAATAACAATCGTTTGAATCACAAGTGTGGTTTTTAGAGTTCAGTCTACATTTGCCCGCTTTTGACACAATACAGGCCATTCACTTCCCAAATCGACTGCGCGCAAATTCTTCCCCTTAGACCATACAGGATCATTCATCAGATTTCCATGATTTGAGGACGTTTTTGACTTCTTGGTTGCACGGACCCTGTTCTTACTTCCTTCATGCTGCTGATGCCTTTTGTTACATTAATCTTTTAAATGGTGAAGCTGTCACCTTTGTGGCATCCTTTCTGGTGGCTTGAGGTCACTGCTTTCGGAGGAGCATATATCTTTTTGGTTTCGTTTAATCAATCACAATGTCAACACACGGAGAGTGCGAAGACAAACAAGAACTGATGGAAGGTATATCTCCGGGTGATAAACCCCAGAGAGATCGAGCATAGTACAGTGGAAAGGAAAGAGGACCTCAGTCCAGGATATGGTCAGTGACGAACTGAAATGTAGTTAATGAACATAAATATCAACAAAGAGAGTGAATTCGTTTAATGCAACCCTCCTAACACCTCCATTTGGCATTAGATGTTCGTATGACTGTTGTCGTGGATGCAACTGCAAGGTACACGCCGCCGTCAGTCCATCTTCTAGGTGTGTAATTGTGTGACGTAACTAGTTGGGTGCTTTTTTCCTTGGTTTCTGCCCTCTACGAAGCTCGGAGGTCTTCAAGAGAATATCGATAGGAAGGTTAGGGTCGTTAGGCGATGTTTGGCAGTGAGACGAATGCAACTGCTTGGCATAGCGGACCCAGTGAGCAGTGTACATCCACTTTTTGAATAACCTGTCCCGTGCGGCCTACAATCAGACCCTGCGTCCACTTTTCGTCACCATCACGATAATCCTTAGCCAACACAACTTGACAAACGTGAAATCTGCGATTCACGCACTGTGATGGCGGCTGAATCGATTCTCCATGCGGATGTTTCGACCGATCGGCAGACGTGAGACTGGACGAATGACATCGAGAAGTAAGCGTAGATTTCGATTCATCAAAGCTTCTGCCGATGAATTTCCATTTATTCTATTAACATTTGGCTTTGACTTGGAATTTTGTAAGAAGGTTTCGATAATTTCCGGAGTAGTGCCCAGCCATTTGAGCTTTAACAACGACCGCTTGAAGGTGCCAACTAAATGTTTCACTTGGTCTTTGGATTGTGGGTGGAATGGCGGCGATCAATTGTGCTAGGTATTGTTTTGTTCTCAAAAGCGGAGAATTCTACGGGTTGAACACTGGTACCTTTGTCAGAGACTGGGGTGTACGGAACTCCAAAACCGTTAAACACATGGTGTAGCTTTGAGATGGTAGCACGAGTTATGATATGATCTATGTTGAAAAATCTCGGCCATTTACTTTATGCAGCAACCAGGAGCAATTAGTGTTGGCCATTGATTGGTCCGGCAAAGTCAGCATGAAGTCGTGACTAAGGTGTATCTGGTACTGCGAGGTGATTCCGCAGGCGTTTGGCATTCCGAACAGATTTGAACAAGTTCTTCCGGCTTCTTATCCATGTTCGGCCCCTACATGTAACATGGCTAGGAACCGACCTCAATAGCGTTTGTGTTGTGATTTTCTTTGTGTCTTTCCCTCCCGCTTAGCGTCCCCCTTCAACCACGATCTCATTTCCTAGGCATAATATAATTCTTATTTTTGCGACACAATAACCGGCAGGTAGCTCTCCGAAACGACGCCCATCCGTTACTGGTGGCTCAGCTGGCGTGCTTCAGTTGCAGTGTTTTCTTCTTTTATTATATATTGTGGCACAGTAGCTAAGGTATTTTCCATATCTAGCTTACGTGTGTAGTGGTAATAACAATGCATGTGGCTACGAGCCAAAGTTTTCATGTCGTTTATTCCATGGTACCCCAAGTTAAACGGCTTCGAAACAAAACCCTGTAAATTATTAGATACTACAGCACGTTCGGTCAAGGGAATACAACCACCGATCTCGGACAAAGAGGACCGACGTTAGTAGAACGGTTTAAGCTGTTGAGGAGGATACGATGACAGCCAGTGAATGCGATGTTAACGAATAACTTCCTGTAGCAATGGCTCACGAGCAGTGGACTCGCGGATGCTCCAATGGCAACAAATTGCCATGTGATTTATTTGCGTCCGGGGCTGATGGACGCCATGTGCGATGCTACCGGGTAACTTCCTGTAACAGTGGATCACGAGCGGTGGACTCAGGATCATGGCATAGGTAACTGGTAGTGCGCGCACTGAAGTAGAAAGCAAGATGTTTAATTCTGACCCTATGGATACTAACGCAACGACGGTATCTCCAAGCTGTTGGTTGGTAGATTCCATGAGTCGTGACAAAGCATCTGCTTGGTCATTATCTTCGCTCGACTGATCTTTTATGGAAAAATCATAGCACATATGCATATGATCCCATCGTTGGAGTTGATCACCTTTGTTAATTGGGGTGCCCCTCTTTGATCCGAAGATACCGAGAAAGTATTTGTGGTCCGTTAGGTGGGTAAAATGACGTCTTCATGTTTGCGAAGACAATGGCAAGAGCTTCTTTCCGACCTAGCCGTAAATGCGTTCAGCGACAGTGATTTGGCTGCATGAGCAATCTCTCTCTGTCTCTCTCTCTCTCTCTGATCCATCTGTGAAAATGCGAGAGGTGACAGCTCTGATTCCGTACTTGCAAACATCTATAACGACAACTATGTCCAAGGCGGGGTTGTAATGTGTGAGCAGAAATTCAGAATTCAGTAGTGCTTAAACTTTATCAAATGTGGACTGCCATTCTTCTGGCCAATTCTTTAAAAGATGGTTGAGTGGGTCTCGGACAAGGGACATATCCGGTAACAAAATGGCTTAACAATCCAAAGAAAGATCGTAGGGGACTTCTGTTAAATGCCTGAAATATTTTCTGGATCAGGACGACAGCCACTTTTGTTGAAATAAATTCCAGATATCTTCTGGAGTCTAGAAAGAAAACATATTTCTGCGCGAAGACGAAAAACCAAACTGGAATTCCATTGCGTACGCAATGTAGACGATGTTACAGTTCTTTCTGACTGCAGCCAGTGATAATGATGATGTCATCGAGGTAGGCAGCTACTCCTGGTAGC